CACACAAATCACACGAGTCCTAACAAACACACAAGTCACACGAGTCCTAACAAACACACAAGTCACACGAGTCCTAACAAACACACAAGTCACACGAGTCCTAACAAACGCACAAATCACACACGAGTCCTAACAAACATACAAATCACGCACGAGTCCTTAGAAACACACAAATCACACACGAGTCCTTAGAAACACACAAATCACACACGAGTCCTAACAAACACACAAATCACACACGAGTCCTAACAAACACACAAATCACACACAAGTCCTAACAAACACACAAATCACACACGAGTCCTTACAAACACACAAATCACACACGAGTCCTTACAAACACACAAATCACACACGAGTCCTTACAAACACACAAATCACACACACTGCAAAAAATGTCCATCTTATCAAGTTTTAAAATCTTATATCAGCCAAAAAGTCTTTTTGATCTTGTTTTGAGACTGATTTACTAAACAAGAACTGATTGTGTAAAAATAATCATCTTGTTTTCAGAATGTGTAACATTATTTGTCTTGTTAGTCTGAAAATTTGACTCAAATTGCCGTATTTTTCGGACTATAAGTCACGACTTTTTTCCTGAACTTTGAACCATGCGGCTTATAGTCCGGTGCGGCTTATACTGTACGTGGATTTATTTCTCCAGCCACCAGGGGGCTCTTACGCTGCATTTGCTTCAACCACTCACTTCAAAAAAAGAAAGAAAAAAAAGAAAAAAGCGATCGCTTCCAGAGCCGACTGTTGTACCAGGAAGCAGCGATTTAAAGATAGTCAATGGCCAAAAACTCATAAAAAGGGATAAAACATTTTTCACGGTGGAATCTGACTGATAAAAACTTTGGAGCTTAATCCAGAACCAGTTTGTGGATAAACGTCGAGTGAAGAGTCGCTGACTTTTTTTTTTCCGCATTGCATTCCCCGGGGAAGGAATCCCATGCAGTGACGTATGCTGGAGCGGGAGGGCTTTCCCAGCAGCTGGGCTCTGGGTTTCTCAGGGGAACTATGAAAGGTCAGTGTGAAAACAAACACCGAACAATCACATGACGGCGCGTCGACCGGTCGACAGCCGAGCGACCATACTGCCAGCTTAGCCGGAGGTGTAGCACCATTTTGTTTTAGCTAGTAGCAGACACGATATTGGACAGTATGTGGGCCCACATCACGGATTCGGTGAAAGCAGCCATCAAGAAAAACTCAATTCCTGCTGTTATTCCTGGCGGTACAACAAAGTTTTTGCAACCCCTGGACATCAGTGTGAATCGTGCATTTAAAGCAGCACTCAGGGGAGAATGGGAGGCTTGGATGACTGACGGGGATAAATCATTCACAAAAACTGGCCGAATGTGAAGAGCG